TTTTTGCGAAGCATTCTTTAATCTTTAATCTTTGATCTTTAATAAAAATTCCAAATTACATTACATTGAACAAATCAATCCAATGGATTTGAGGACATCATAAAACAGAATACAAGATTCCTTAATATAAGCCGCCTTACTGTATCATTGTATGATTGTATACCTAGTTAAAAATTACCCTAAACTCATATTAAAAAATAAGATAATCACGATAAAAAATTAGCATTGAACTTATCGTAAAAATAAGCAAACAATTTTTTGCGGAAGACTGACAAGGTGTTAGACTCCCTGATGTTAAGAGGTAGTTCATTCCATGAGCGACAAACCCGTTTAAAATATGAGTTCTTAAAAGATTCTGTGCGACTAAACGGGACATTGAGTTTTAAATAATCAATCTTTCTCAAAGGCCTGTTGCAAGTTCGAAACGATACATAGTCCAAAATATCTAAATTATACATATTCTTAAAACATTTAAAAAAGAATACGAGATCATGAATTTCCCAACGATATCGTAAAGGTAATAAATTTAATTTACTCAGGCGTTAGTGCTCAGAATACTCCTTGCCGAGAATGAATCTCGTGGCTCTGCGCTGAATTTGTTCTAAGCTGGTAATATTTCTTTTGGTATAAGTCCACCATACCACACTGGCATATCCTAGACGTAACTGCACCCAAGTAATATAAAATAACTTTTTAGTTCTAATATCAGTCATATCCTTACATGTCCTATGAAGCAAATTAAGCATCTTTTGAGCTCTGGACGTAATAATTTCAACGTGATAATTCCGGCTTAAATCGTGGCTGATCCAAATACCCAGACCTTTTTCAACAGCAACACGTTCCAACTTGGTTCCTCCAAGAAAATAATCCCTCTCATAAGTACACTTAGTTCGTGCTACTCTTAAAACCTTACACTTTTTGACATTGAACTCCATTCTCGAAATGCGTGACCACTCCAATAACTTATTCAGGTCTTCCTCTAAATTTATCGCCATCATCTTGCAGGAGAATTAGGCGAAAACACTTCGAATCATCGGCAAAAAGGGGCAATGATGTACCCCCTGAAATTACATCAGGCATTTATGTAAACCACGAAGAACAGGGGTCCCAAAATTGATCCCTGGGGGACTCCAGGTGTGACCGGGAGAAAATCAGATGCCTCATTATCAATTACAACCCTGTGTACATTCTCATTGATTGTCTTATAAACGGCTAAAATTGTAACGCAATCGCCAACAGCATAATGCCACGTATTAATCGTTTTCAACGTCTTGGTCGCCTGTGGTCTGTGAAGAGGGTTTAGATAACGTTTTAAACGACTAATAGATTTATAAGAACACAAGTAGATTATAGATTATTTCTATGCGTGATAGCTGACGAGAACGCAGCCCCCTCGGGTCATAAATAGAGGATATTACACGGTGGCGAGAAGATATGAATTTTATTTTCGAGTGGTAAGAACAAGATATTGTTCTTGCCACGAGAACATAAAATTCATATCTTCGAGCTAACGTGTAATGTTCTTTCTATTATATAGACCTACCGATGAGGGTTTTTTTGACGATTTTCCGAAAATTTCCGACCATTTCCGAAGATGTCCGAAACTTCTCCAAAACTTGTCCGAAGGTTACACGAAGGTTGCCGAACATTTTTTCGAAATTTTCCGAAGATTACTGAAGATTTCCGAAGATTTACCGAATATTTCCGAAGACTTTCGAGGAAGACTCGAAGATGTTTCGATCATACACCAACGAATTTAAGTACAATTTAAGAAACAAATTTAATATCAGTGAAATCATCAATATCTTCACTTGTGAGGATATGGAAATACGCCACCCGAGTCCCGGATGTGGTTTCGTATGAATTTTACGAGTGGTGGATTTTCCAGTAAAACACTCGTGTCTATATAATAATCTACTTGTTAAATAGAAGAGGCTCGGTGGTGTGGCTCACTTTGTCCGAGGTAGACCTTTTTCATTCTTAGACCTTGAATAATGATGAAATCCTTTGTGACATGGCTAAGCTAGCGGCTTTTTTAGGCACATGTTTCCGTGACAGTTTTATAAAAACATAGCTTAGTGGCTGAATATTCTAATGAGGCTTAGGCAGAAAACCGCATTTCTAATAAACGTGCCTTCAATTTAGTCGTAGTTCTGTATACAGAAATAGTATGTTGTGGGCGTAAACTGCTAGTAACAAGACAAGCACAAAGTAAACGCCTGTTTTGATATGGAAGGACATTGGGCTATTGCAATTATGTAAATAGCAGTAGTCTCGAGCTATTGATTATTTGACTTGCAGTCTTTATGATCAGCGTTCCGAAGTTTCTTTGTTATTATAACAAGCCTATTCAGCAGGTGGACAAAACCTATTTACTGAATATACAGTAACTTGTCAAAAAAACATCCATCCGTTTACATTGAAACCAAGTTCTTATAGACAATATTTAAATGTAAATTGCTAATATTTTCGTCAATAATTTACCGCGAAGCTGTTGTTGAAACTGAGTTTTGGCCCGTATAAATGTACCCAATACGCGGTTCTTGAAGTAAAACCTTCATCCAACCGACTCACTAAGGTAAAAACGTTTGAAAGGACAACTCAGGTGAGGTTTCAGCAGCGGAAATTTGTTATTTAATCATTTACTTAAGGTAGAATAACTAATTCTGTTTAAAATTTTCACGAAACTGAAATTGACAGACAACTTAATTATTCTTTCCCTTTTCTAGGAGTGATGGGTATTTTTGGAAAAAAAAAGCCTTAGAAAGTGACTCAAAATTAAAAAAAAAATTAAAATCTTGCAAATGAACCGAAATATTAAATGAAAAGAAAAGAAAAACCGCGTTGGCCGAGAAACATTAAAACGGTGTGCGGAACTTGAGTTTATTTTAATTTGTAGTAACTGTTTTTTTCAATGACTGACGTACCTGACTAGAACTACAGGATATTACTTCAGATTAATAAATACGACGACTTTCAGAAAAAAGACTTGTTTGACTCAATCTATTGCGACTTCAGATCGGCAGGTGGGCCTCATCCTGTATCTCAGTCACCATGGAGAAACACAGCAAATAGAAACTTGAAAAGACATGCAGCCAAAGTTTTGCATATTCTACACATGGTCACCTTTATTCAATAGGTGGTCGCCTTGGGACTTTCAGTCAAATTTTAAGAATGCAAACAGTGCAAACAAAGATGTCTTTTATATCAGGCAAAATTATCTAAACATAGTACATTGATTAATGCTGGGGAATTTTTCTTTGTCAGGTGTTTTTACAAAAACAATTAAGTTGACTCTGCACATTATAGTGTAGTCTCAAAAAGATAATACTCCAATAAAAATGAGTTTTTTTCTCCTAATTTATTCCCGATGGTAATCTCCATTGATTTACTTGGAATTTATTTCTGACATTTTTGTGTAATGTGACTGATTTTCGCGGTAAATATGGTTTATTCGTATTTGTATCTGGCTACGAATACGACTACAGGTAATTTAACTACCCCAGTACACCAAGATGGGCGAATTTGTTTTAGTATGTTCGATTTCAACTTTATTTAACCTGTCATTTCTAGGACAAATGAATCCACTGCTTGGCAAAGCCTTACTACGTGTTGTGCTCTTCTACGCATACGGCTTATTTGTGGCTTGGATTTTCACTTTTATTGAGAAAAAAGACGAATTAGCACAAAACAAAATGGAAAGGATGTTATCCGAACTGAAGAACGAAGTACACATAAACTACAACATGACAGATAACGAATTTAACAGCTTTGTGAGAAGGATCACAGCGGCCGTAGCGGCAGGCAATGAAAAGGACTGGAATTTTCTTAATAGCTGTGGATTCGTTTTCTCTGCTATCACAACAATAGGTAAATCACAACGTAGAAACTAGTTAAATAAAAAAAAGAAACTCATTCACTACTGAACTGAGTGTGTAAGAAATTAATGACTAATCCACTTGTTTGTAAATTTGTAAATGCATTCTTGGCATTTTTCATTCAATCTTTCCAGCAATCGATTATAAGAAATTCTTACGTTTCAATAGGGTTGTGGGACACAAATCCGTCCCCACCGTGATTAAATCTCTGTGGAATTTAATCCTCAAGCTGGAAGCATCACGTCTGGATGCATTGTCGTTTATCGCTTGTTGCATAACTTTTTAATTAATTCACTCTATAGCTATAAGAGATACCTGCTGATTTGCGGTCGACATGTATTTGGCTCCCTACCAAAACTCTTATTATACAACAAAAAACCTTTAAAACGTCAGCTTCTACGTGAAACTTGTCAGTGCAGTTAATTCAACTTGGGTAATATTTCTAACTTGAATTTGACGATTAGAGGAGTGTTCTACATGTTTAGCAACAAAGAGGCTTATTGTTTCTTTGGAAATAAATGGCTTTGATTGCAAAAAAATTCTGGGTTGCTAAACTGCGAAGCAATGTTGCAATTGCATTTTTTCTCTACATTTTAATGGCGATTGCAACAACTGCCTTTTTTCTTAAAAGTAGGCTCAAACTATAGGGGACTTGTTGCTGGGAGATGAAGAGGGTACAAGTAGCAGCAACAGTTTTCCTCTTGTATGACTTGCCTGTTCTTCGAAAAAGTTCTGCACCGGGGACACAATTTTGTCCCTGCAACATGTTGTATGATATTCAGCTGGTTTGAATTCGTTTGTAATGAAGCAGGGACAAGAAAATGACCTCAGTTTTTACTGTCGCATCGTGTGCACTACTTTTGCAAACAGTTCCCGCTACGACACATTTTTATTCCTCAACAAAGTTCGTGTGCATCCGATTGCGTACGTTCCCTGCAACATGCGTTCTACGCGAACACACGATTACCCTGTCCCCCCGCAGTGAGTCTCTTGGTGTGTGTCAACCCTTTAACCCTGAAAGAAAGCTATGAAGTAAAATGATGCATCAGATGAATTTATTCTTCATGCAGACTAACTTAACATTTTTTTTCTTTTTTGCATCGTTTGATGTAATCAGGATATGGACTTATCACACCAAAAACACAAGTTGGTCAGGGTGTCACAATCATTATCTGCATCATTGGTATTCCTATAACAATGCTGGCTTTGAAAACATCGGGAGAGGTCTTGGCGGACTGCTTTAGGGTTCTCGTCGTCAAAACAGAAACTGGTATCTTTAAAAGAGCTGAAACAAAGCACGTAAAAAAGAAAACGTTTTTCGTGGCATGTACACTAATGGTCATTTTGCTCCTGTTAGCAAGCTTATCAAGCACTTATTTTGAGGAGTGGAGTCTCATGGAGGGTTTATATGCGTGGTTCATAACTTTTACAACAATCGGTTTTGGCGACTACGTGCAGTTTGAATCACATGCGAAAAAGGTCACCCACGGAAACGACAGCACAGCTCATTTGTTACTTCATGGCATTATCTTTGCTGTGCCTTACGTGATTGGTTTGAGTCTCATGTCGTGTATTTTGACTTGTCTTGTGGATTCTGTAGATCACATACGTGATTTTCGTGATCGCTGTATGAATTGTTGCCCGGGTTTGGCAGGTTTCTTCTCACTCTTAAGAAGATTTTTCCTAGGCAGAAGCTCAACTTATGATCTGACAGAAGAGCCCAGTCGTGAGAGAAATGAGTTAAGCTCAATGTAGGAAAACCGTCAAACTAACTCGTTCCTAGAGGCCCTGATACTTAGTGGCCACTTGTTTATCAAGATACTATTAATTGAGGAAACAGTTTTTTGCGGAGTCAGTTTTTTTCAGGCGGTTTTAGCTTTTTAGTGGGATTGATATCATAAGCAGTGATAATACTGGAAATTAATCAACACAAACATATTTTAGAAGAACAGTATTGACTTAACAGAGTATATGTGTCATTAAAGATGTGTCTATTGCTCATCTCGGTGTAAGATAGGAACGTACGATGAATTTTGCTCGTTTGTCTCACGATGGAGTCAGACGAGTCACTTTGAGATGTTGATCGCCGACGTTTCGATTGCTATACTGCATGTCTTCTCAGGCGATGAGGTCGATTGTTTACGTGTCGCTATGTGTAGCACGTTGGTTCGCTGCTGTTGGTGCACTTCGATCTTCATTATTATTCCGACTTTCTCTGTAATTTCTATAGAGTATATGTAATTATATTCAATTTCGTCGCAGAATTTGCAAAAAAAAAA